AGGATTAACCTAGACTTTGGTCACTGATTTCTCCTGCACTGGGAAGCCGACCTGCAGCATGGCCCAAGATGTCCCTCACTTGGCAGAGGGGCACTTTTGGCGTTAGTAGGATAATAACATATAATAATGCCTGTGATGTTGTATAAAGGGGGAGCTGACTGTCTACACTAATATGATCACAATTTTATAAAAGGGTGACCAATCTTGTACAAAGTATGCCTTGTAAGGTATCACTGGAAAAGTTATAATCCACTCTGTATTGTCTTGTTGTGACAATGGGTGTATCGACGCTGGGTGTGGAGTTATGAACTTTTGCTGTGTGTTTGTAACTCAAACTTGTTGTGAGTCTGGAAAACACCCACAGGTTAACCCTAAGCAGCACGTAGCTCACAAAAGGTGCAAGTGACACAGTATTTGAAATTCATATGAAGAACTGGTGGCAGAGCATGTACATTATGAAGCTACTTAATTCCATAACAAAGGGCCGGGCCCCATGGCCCGAGCACCGGATGGGCAACCCCAGCACGGGGTGGCCCATGCAGCCAGAATTTCTCTGGGTCATGATATAAAAAAGAACAAAAGGCACCCCTTACCGCTTTTCTCTTTCCTACCTCATCTCTGGACTGATGAAATTTTGACAAGTAAAATTGGGGGGGAATGACTGAGATCCCCAATACTATTTAGGCAAATCCAGAGACACTTACAAAAAACTAGCCGCTATTACATCTCTGCTAGCACGTTGGGTTTACAAGCTTTAATTCACCTGCCATGTAACTTACCAGCTTTAAACCTCCGAATGCCTGATTTCTTTTCTTAGCTAACAAATGTTAGTTAGCTACCCAAGTAATTGGCTGGCAGCGTTGTCTTTGGTGAGCTCCTTGAGCAGCTGGTGATCTGGGGTTGAGTGACCGATTCTTTGGGATTGGGCGTAATCGAATGGGTGGTGGGTTTTTTTTGTTTTGATCACCTTTCATCACAGCAGTCCGGTGCGTCTGTGTGGTAAATGGCACTGGAGCAGTAAGGGGAGGCTCTATGTTTTTTGCTGCCCCAAGCACGGCAGTCAGGCGGCCTTCGGCGGCATGCCTGCGGGCGGTCTGCTAGTCACATGGATTCGGTGGCGTTTCTGCGGGTGATCTGCTGGTCCCGCGACTTCGGCGTACCCGCCGCCAAATTGCCACCGAAGCTGCTGGACCAGCGGACCTCCCGCAGGCAAACCACCGAAGGCTGCCTGACTGCTGCCCTCACAGCGACCGGCACACCGCCCCCCGCGGCTTGCCGCCCCAGGGACGCGCTTGCTGCGCTGGTGCCTGGGCAGCCCTGTTTATGATGAGCTAATAAAGTGACCCAGGATGGAGCGCACATATATCGCTGGTTTGGTTAAATCTAACTACAGATTATGCCACCCCGTTGGGAGTGTTTGGCCTAATATTAGCCCTGGGCATTGTGACTCCCACTAGGCCCCGGGGAAAATGGCATCATGATGTATTATTTTAACCGTGTGCATGAGTGTGAGTCCTTATGTAGCTCAAAGATGCAGACACGAGAGAAACTAATTAGGGACTTGTCCTTCTGCACGGAGCACCCACGAACTTATGCAATTACTCAGTGCAAGTCTACACCGCGTGCAGCTGTGCCACTGTAGCGCGTCTGGTGAAGACACACTATGCCGACGGGAAAGCGTCTCCTGCTGCCGTAGCGCCGGTGTGGACAGTGTGAAACTAGCACGCTGGGGGGGCGAAGGGGGGCTTTTTCACACCCCTGAGCCAGGTAACTTACATTGACTTAGATGGTAACTTAGACCTATCCTCAGCAAGGCAGGTGCCTGGGCTGAAGGAAACAACATAAGAACGGCCATACTGGGTCAGACCAATGGTCCATCTACCCCACTATCCTGTCTTCCGACAATGGCCAATGCCAGGTGCCCCAGAGGGAATGAACAGAACAGGGAATCATCAAGTGATCCATCCCCTGTAGCCCATTCCCAGCTTCCGGCAAACAGAGGCTGGGACACCATCCCTGCCCAGCCTGGCTAATAGCCATTGATGGACCTCTCCTCCGTGAACTTATTTAGTTCTTTTTTGAACCCTGTTCGTGTCCTAACCTTCACAACATCCTCAGGCAAGGAGTTCCCCAGGTTGATTGTGCGTTGTGTGAAGAAATACCTCCTTATGTTTGTTTTAAATGTGCTGCCTATTAATTTCATTGGGTGACCCCTAGCTCTTGTGTTATGAGAAGAGGTAAATAACACTTCCTTATTTACTTTCTGCCCACCAGTCATGATTTTATAGACCTCTATCATATCCCCCCTTAGTCATCTCTTTTACCAGCTGAAAACTCCCAGTCTTATTAATCTCTCCTCATACAGAAGCCGTTCCACATCTGCTCGCAGTATTCAAGGTGTGGGCATACCGTGGATTTATATAGAAGCAATATGATAGTTTCTGCCTTATTATCTATCCCTTTCGTAATGATTCCCAACATTCTGTTCGCTTTTTACTGCCGCTGCACGTTGAGTGGATGTTTTCAGAGAACTATCGACAATGACTCCAAGGCTACATCTACACTACAGGGGGGAGTCGATTTAAGATACGCAAATTCAGCTACGTGAATAGCGTAGCTGAATTCGACGTATCACAGCCGACTTACCCCGTTGTGAGGACGGCGGCAAAATCGACTTCTGCGGCTTTTTGTCGGCGGCGCTTACTACCACCTCCCCTGGTGGAGTTAGAGCGCCGATTCGGGGATCGATTGTCGCGTCCCGTCGATCCCCGAGAGGTCGATTTCTACCCGCCGATTCAGGCGGGTAGTATAGACCAGACCCAAGATCTCTTTCTTGAGTGGTAACAGCTAAGTTAGACCCCATCATTTTATATGTAGAGTTGGGATTATGTTTTCCAATGTACATTACTTTGCATTTATCAATATTGAATTTCATCTGTCATTTTGTTGCCCAGTCACCCAGTTTTGAGAGATCCCTTTGTAGCTCTTCGCAGTCTGCCTGGGACTTAACTATCTTGAGCAGTTTTGTATCATCTGCAAATGTTGCCACCTCACTGTTTATCCCTTTTTCCAGATCATTTATGAAACACCTACAGGCGTGTCCTGGAGGGAGAGGGGGGATCTCTGAGGTCCTCAGCCCTGGGGGTCTTTGTCCGCAGCGCAGATCAGCCCAGGGATGGGGCAGCCAATGGAGGGGGGGGGGGAGTTTGGGGATCTCCCCCCCCCCCCCCCCCGATTTCCCCTGCAGCTGCAGGCCCTTTCCCAATGTCTCTCTCCCCTCTTTCCTGGTCCATCCCCTTCCCCCTCGGGCTGGGAGACGTGACCCTGTCCCGTTCCCAGGGGGCAGGTCCCCCCCACTGCAGACAGCCCGGGGGGGGTTTACAGGGCACAAGAAGGGGCTGGAGCAGCTGGGAGCGGTGGGTGCCGGGAGGAAGGAGGCAGGAGCCGGGAGAACAAAGAACCGAGAGCATCAGACACGGGGGCGAGTCTGTGCTGGGCGAGGGGGAGCCCGGCATTAACCCCTCCCTGCCCGGCCGGGGGGGGGGGGAACCCGCCGCCCCTCGGGCTCTGCCCGCATCCACTCCGGAGCCAGGTAATGGACAGAGCCCGTGGGAACGTGCCGGGGGCGGGCGGGAAAGTGACTCTCTGCCCCAAGGGAACCTGGGGGGCGTTAAATCCCCCCGTCCCCCCCCCCCCCCGGGACACTGCCCCCTTGCTGCTAAGGAGCTTGCGGGAAGCGGCTTAGCTGGAAACCCAGCGGGGGCCAAACTGGGGGACCCAGGTGGGGAGAGAGCTGGGCCCCCGGGGGGCCTGGAGGGGTCGTGCAGGGAAGGGATGGAAAACGGGGCAGGGACTGGGGGGAAGTGCGGTGGCTTTCCCTGTCTCTGTGCGGCTGGACATTAGGGAGAGAAAAGGGGTCATCAAGTCCCTGCAGATGCTGCCTCTTCTCTCTCTAATACTGATCAAATTCTCCCCCAGTTTTGCCCCTTTTCCCCTCATTAGAAAAGGTGCATTAAATCCACGTAGATTTCCCCGTTTTCTCTCAAACTATCCGCCTTTTCTCTCTTCCCCTCCTCCACGCTTGCCCCATTTTTTCTTTCCAATTCTCAAAATGTCCATTTCAAATCTCCTCCGATGTGGGGGATTTTCCCCACCCCGTTTGATAGGCAGCCATTTGTCCTTGTCCAGGTGGGAAATTGTCCCGAATCATTCCCCCAAATGGGCAGGGGGTCAGTGGGGGCTGTTTGGGGGAGCCCTGAGACCCGGCTGCTTCTGGGGTGGAGCCGGGGTGGCCGTTCTCTGCCAGCAACAGGGCTTGGAAGGGGTCAGGGATTTCCCCGTACTCCCCATCCCTGAATTTCCCCATCACCCCCCTCCCAGGGGTCAACTCGTTACAGGGCAGTGTGGCTAATTAGTGATCCATAGATGGGAACCCCTCTCCAGGAGCCTGGTGGCTTAGGGGCCACCACCGCTGCACGACTCCAGGTGCGAGGGGCTCTCAATCGTCTTGCTGGCTTCATGCCACTGGAAGTAACGAATGGAATCGATTAAATATTAATTGGGCCACAGACAGCAGGAGAATCTCTCTTTAGCCCAGCGCTCAGGTGCTTCCCTGAGAGGCGGGACACCCCTGATCCAATATTAACTCTCGCCCCCTGGATGAGTGCCTGACCCCTGGGTGAACAGCAACGAGAGGCCTGTCCCGTTTGGGTGACCTCGGGGGATCGAGCACTTGTAGATTCTGTTGCTCCCGAATTATAGCGTCTAATTCTTTAGCCTTGTCCCTAGGGCTGGGGGGAATTTAACACTCCCTCCCACTGCACTTGACTCAGTAGATTCTCTAATTTCTCACATGGTGCTTTCCTGGCATCTAATCCCTCTGAGATACCTCTGACCCCCTCACCAGGCCTTACTAGGCTGCATCCCGCTAGCTCACGCTCACTGGCCCCCGGCTTCCCTAGGATGGTCTCATTTTCCACTGGGCCCGTCTGTCAGTCAGATGATGACCCAGAGCAGTTTCCCCTCTGGTTGGAGTCTCTATATTCTGGGACACAGAGGTGCCTTCTCTGGGGTTGAGGTGTCCCTTGGACGATGAGGGCGAGGCTGAGTGTGTTCCCAGCAGAGATGCAGATAATTAAATATGGAGCCCCAGGATTTCGCCGCTTAGAAACGAGCTTGAATACGGCCTGCCCCATCTCGACAAAGATCTGTTCGAATTGGAAAAAGAACAGAGAAGGGCAACGACCGTGATTAGGGGCACGGAACCGCTCCTGTGCCAGGGGAGATTAAAAGAACCGGAAACCGTCAGCTTAGAAGCGAGACCATGGAGGGGGCATATGATAGAAATCTCTCAAATCATGAGTCGTGTGCAGAAAATGAATGGGGGGGGGTTATTTACCCGCTTTTGCATCTCACAAGAGCCAGGGGTCACCCGAGGAATCTGCAGGGCTACGAGGGAAGGGAGATGCTGAGAACTGCATGCACAGGTAAGGAATTAGTTAAACCCACTCAAAAAAAAAATCTCAGGGTCTGTGGGAAACAGCTGGGAGCTCTGAGGTCAGGGCTGCCCCCCGCAGATGTGCTAGCCCCATGCATCGTCACTGATGCCTGGCAGCAGCTCCCTCTCTCACCCCCTTTCCCCCTGAGTTTTCCGATGGGATGTGGAAGCAGAATTGATCCTCTCCTCTCTTCCCCTATGGGGAATAGTTTGGCGGATTCAACCCCTGAGTTCCCCCCCCACACCTCCCTCTCTCCACCATTTAATCTGGTTTCTTCCCCACTTGCCCCTTCTCCTCGGCACAGGGCGCGACCCACGTCTCACTTCTCCCTCCACCCCAGCAGCTGAGACGGGAGGATGAGTAAGAATGAGGAGGTGACGTCTCAGCGGCAGAAAGCGGAGCCGGAAGAACCACACGGGAGATTAGCAGGAAGATATAAAGGGAAGGTTTCCCAGAATCATGAGCAGGGGAAAGCCTACGAGAGGCAGTCAGGGAAGAAAGAAGGTGAAATCATTAATGCCAGGTTGAGTTTTCCCATGACAGATGTTGCACTCCCCACCCAGCCACTTCAACCAGATCAGTGGGGCCCATCTCAGTAACCTCGCTGGCCTGGGCAAGTTCTGTGCTCAGTCCCCCTGGGCATCAGCCTGCCCGCACTGACCTTTCCCTGGTCCTGCTGCTTGTCTTATATAGGGCCCTTCTGGCCCCGGATTGGTCGCTCCATCAGCCCCTTTGATTGGCCGCTCCTCTGCAGCCACTCTAGGCTGCCTGGAGGACTTCTCGCTGCTCTTTTCTGGGGCAGGGTGATGTAGGGCCTCCGGACCTAGGCCATCCCGCCCCACACCTCCCCACTTTGTCAGAGAAACATCCAGCCCCATAACCCTGCCTTTTCCCTCTTTAAAGTGGTGTCGCCCAAGGCTTCCTGCTGCCCATGAGAACGGCACTCCAGGGGCATGCCATCATTTTCTAATTGATCAAACATTCATTTAAAATCCCCTCTGATTTCTCCCCTTGTCTCTCAGGCATTGCATTTTTATTACACGTTCTCCGCTATTCAATTTTTGCCCCATTTTCGCTCTAGTTATCTCCAACTTGAAATGTCTCCCTTCTCCTGCTAAAGCCACATTGCATGGGGCTCCCTGTGGCCTGTGTGCATGGCCATCTGTGGGTGGTAATATTAAATACTGATGTCAAAAATCAAAGAAATAGGTGGGTTTTTTTTTTCTTTCCACCCTTCAAAACTACAGGAACTTCATGTTTTGGAGTGAAAACTGGTTGCTGTGAGTCTTTACCCCGATGTGGGGGTCAGGATTGGTGGGAAGAGGCTCCCCAATGATCAGCCTCTGTCTCTGTGGGGAGGTGGTTTCATTAGATCCTATCACCAGAGGTCTCTGGGTATTGCTATGGGGTTGAGGTGCAGGATCTCTGTTCGATTAGGTCCTTGTATTGCATACAGCACCATGGTACGTGAGGAGTTTCCAGTCATTAAACAAGGTAACTACTCATCAGTTACATGTTGTTCTTTGTTTTCTTCTCCTCTCTCCTGCGGGAGAAGCTTGTGCACCGGGGTGTCTCGTTTTGGTAGGGTTGTCTGCCGGTTTCACTTTCTGGTGGTGGTGGGTCTGAATAGACTCATAGTTGCGATGTACTTGCCGTTAGAGGAGACAACCTTAAAAAAAAAAAAGCGCCTTGCGCTCGGAGTGGAAGGTGGTGAGGTTTGGGATGGTCTTTAGTTCCTAGGAGCGTCCATTCCAGACTCTCAGAAAGCTCTGTCTCCCTCACAGATGAGCTGGGTTAAAGGGGAAAAAAAAGATAAGTTCATGGAGGACAGGTCCATCAATGGCTATTCACCAAGATGGTCAGGGATACAACCCCATGCTCTGGGTGCCCCTAAACCTCTGACTGCCAGAAGCTGGGAATGGGCGACAGGGGATGGATCACTCAATTATTGCCCTGTTCTGTTCATTCCCTCTGAAGCATCTGGCACAAGACACTGGGCTAGATGGACCATTGGTCTGACCCAGTGTGGCCGTTCTTAGGTTTTTATGAGCTTTACCCTTCTTGTAGAGAGTTCTGTTGTGCCAGAGAAGCGTAGCTGGTGACCACACGCTTCCTCCCAGAGCATTACATGATCTATTAGCTATCCTGGGCCCAGGCCAGGGAATGCTCTGGAGGCAGCCCAGAAGGTAGAGGACCGCTCTGAGGTTTTTGCAGTCTCGTGTGTTGCTGAGATGTATGACAGGCTCTGTACAAGTTCAAGTGTCCTAAGCAGAGAAGACTTCATGCCCAGGTCTGTTGCATTGCTGGAGTGCAGCCGAGAGGCATGAAAAACTCTGGTCTGATCATCATCCACTAGGAATGTTACCCCGGAATTTGACATTCCTGCGTATACCCTGGACGTGACAGCCCTGCCGTCAGCGATTTTGTAGATTAGAATCATAGAATATCAGGGTTGGAAGGGACCTCAGGAGGTCATCTAGTCCAACCCCCTGCTCAAAGCAGGACCAATCCCCAGACAGATTTTTACCCCAGTTCCCTAAATGGCCCCCTCAAGGATTGAACTGGGTTTAGCTCAAACCACTGAGCTATCCCTCCCCCCACTGCCGTCTGAAACTCCAATACCACTGACGTAGGAATGATCTTAGGCCTGTATGAGACAAGGACAGACAGCGGCAGGCTTGCAGTTGGTTAACCAGAATGGGAGGATGGGACAGAAAGTTATGGAAGTGAGCAGCGACCTGGGTTTGAAGTGCCCCAGACGTATTGTTGTTCTGGCTAGAAATACTAGAAGTGTTTTGAGATAATGAGCAGTTTGTTGAAATGAGGAGAATTGGTGACCCAGGAGAGGAGTCCCTGTGGGTTATGTGCTTTGTTAGAGTTTGCTATAAAAGATTAGGTGAAAGTAAACACCTTGGAGCAGTCCGAGGGAGCTTTTCTTAGGGTAAGGAGCTTGCATCTAAACTCCCCATCAGCTGGATGGAACAAGGGCTTCTGGAAACCCGGCTGGTGATCGCTCGAAACCATCTCAGACTGTGGTTAATTATATCTGGGTTGTCCTAAACCTACTGTGTGTGTGTGTGTGTGTGTGTGTGTGTGCGCGCTTCATATCTAATAAATAGTAGTTTTAGATAAGAACACGCTTGCTTGTATCCATCATTTATCAGACGGAAGCCCCGTGTTCCCATTGATTTATTCCTGACGCTGCCTGCAGAGAAACAGCTGGGTCTGTGCTGGGGAGAGACCTTCATTAAAGCTCCTTCTGAGCCAGCCAAGGTGGGGAAGTTCTCCCGCTAGGACTAGCCCCAGACGCTGCTGACAGGATCTCCTGATCAGAGCGTCCAGGTGGTTGAGAGAGAGCTCAGTGAAAGCACTGGGGCCGGGCAGGAAATTGACTGCACAGTGAGCGCTTCCTCCTCCCCCATCTCTGCTCCTCGTGTCTATGGGAGCCACAGACCTGCTGCCCTCGTTACGATTCAGACCAAAAGGGATGTTTCTGTCAGCAAGGCTGACCGGCTTCACCCGGGCCCTTAAATGTCTCCCACTGACCTTGTACTGAGTTGTGGATCAAGCTTATCTTCCTGCCTGGCATCCAGCCTTCCGGGCCCTGGCAGAGCGGGTCCTGTGAGGGGAAGAGAACACCCCCAAGAACGGGGTGGTGGCCCAGTCTCCCATCTCGAGGGGAGAGCGACTGAAGAGGGCATCAGGAGAAAGAAGTGGTGGGAGATTCCCGAATCTCTAACCCACCCAGACACACCCACTGTAGACGGGGTGAGGAGCAGAGAGAGGGAAAAACGCTTCCTGGCTCTGTCTAGTTCTGGCCCTGCTGGCGGGACAGCGCCGGGGGCTCCTTTGATGCTGCTCTTTCTCTAGTGTTTGATGCAGACGCCGTTCCTGGGAGGGTTTAAAAAGTCTCTGTGGGTTCGGCGCTTTTGGGAGGGGGCTGGGCCTGCTGGGTTACAAAGAGACAGAGCGTTTTCCCAGCGTGGCAGGGTTGACGATGTCCGTCTGCGGGGAAAGGGCTTGGGGGAATCAGGGTGTGAAATTAACTATCTCCTCCATTGCTCTTCTCACCTGGACAGGCTGTCACTCCAGATTGTCCCATCGTTCACGGGGACAGGGAAGGGAAAAGGCTGCAGAGGAGCCGATTCAGGTAGCGACTTCCCAGTGGCTCCGACTGGAGGGAGCGGGGCAGTAGATGCACAGGAGGTGGGCGCTGTTGAGGGATTTGGTCTTCAGGCGGGAGGGGGCAGGAAATACCCAGGGCGGAGAAAGGGAAGGGGACAGGGTGTGACTAACCTACTGGGACTTATTCAGCCTGGAACTAGATTCTATGACCAGACCCATGAGGTTGAGGTGAAAATTCCCCAATTTTTGAAACTGGAACCAACCCGCCCCGGACTGGGCTGGGTCAACTTCCCAGTGTGGGGGTGGGACTGTGACTGGGAGCCTCCCAGAGCTTTCATTTGATTGGCTCCTTTCCCATGAATAGTGGGGCAGCAGGTACTGAGTGTTGGGCTCTTGCTCTTTCAGGGGCCGGTGACCTTCGAGGAGGTGGCTGGGTATTTCACCAGGGAAGAGGGGGCTCTGCTGGACCCCGCTCAGAGAGCTCTCTACGGAGACGTCATGCAGGAGAACTATGAGAATGTGACCTCGCTGGGTAAGGATTCCCGTCCCCTCGGTTACTAGAAGCTGTGGGGTCTCTCCAGCACCCGTATCAGTTTCTGCTGGAAATTCTTTCCCTGGTTCCTTAGATTAAAGGAGACTTCGTCACATCGTCCCCACAACTCATGTGTGATCCTGTTCCCTTCCCACAGCCCTCCTCTCATTCCTGAGGGGTCAGCCCCTACGCTCTCTGGGAAGTTGCCGTGACAGGCACTCTTCCCCAGAGCCCCTTCCTGGGTGATTTCTTCCTGCCAGATAGGAATAAAACGGTTGGGTTCACCATGGAGAGAGGTGAATAGCGGGGTCCCCCAAGGAGCTGCACTGGGACCAGGGCTGCTCAACATATTCGTAAATAATCTGGGAAAAGGGGGTAAACAGAGAGGTGGCCAAGTTTGCAGAGGATCCAGGATGACTCAAAGCAGACTGTGAAGAGCTACAAAGGGATCTCACAAAACTGGGTGACCGGACCACAAACCGGCCAATGAAATTCAATGCGGATAAATGCAAAGTGATGCACGTTGGAAAACATCATCCCAACTATGCACAGCAAATAACGAGGTCTCAATTAACTGTTACCACCAATCACTGGATGCGCCACTCAGCTTGCGACTTCTCCTGGCCGCTCTGGGTTCCAGCCCAGGGACCCTGCAACAAACATCCACGTTCTGTTCAGGCCACAACGTTGCTCTTTAATCCCTGGGCTGCTTCCTATCCCAGCATTCCCCCTTGTCTGGCCTTTGCCGGTCTCTCTACGCCGCTCTCCCAGAGAGCAACCGTGGGCTGTTCGTCTCTCTAGCCCCCAAACACAGCTCCCGTCTCCCAGGGAGTGACTGCAAACTACCTCCCTGAAGCCCCCTTCCTATGATCGGCTCCCTGCCTGTTCCCACACAGGCGAGCGTCCCCTAAGTAGGATTTTCCTCTCAGTCTTCAGCCTAATAGGTTAATTGGTCCATCTGGCCTCCATTAACCCCGTTAGCATGAGGGAGAACTTGGAGTCATTGTGGATAGTTCTCTGAAAACATCCACACAACATACAGCGGCAGTAAAAAGCAAACAGAATGCTGGGAATCATTAAGAAAGGGATAGCTAATGAGACAGAAAATATCATGTTGCCTCTATATAAATCCATGATAGGCCCACACCTTGATTACTGTGCGTAGATGTGGTCACCTCATCTCAAAAAAGATATACGGGCATTAGAAAAGGATCAGAGAAGAGCAACTAAAATGATTAGGAGTATGGAATGGCTTCTCTATGAGGCGAGATTAATAGGACTGGGACTTTTCAGCTTGGAAAAGAGATGACTGAGGTGAGGATATGATAGAGGTCTATAAAATCATGACCAGTGTGGAGAAAGTAAATAAGGAAGTGTTGTTTACTCCTTCTCATAACACAAGAACTAGGAGTCACCCACTGAAATGAATAGGCAGCAGGTTTAAAACAAACCAAAAGAAATATTTCTTCACACAACTCAGAGTCAACCTGTGGAACTCCCTGCCAGGGGCTCTTGTGAAGGCCAAAAGTATAACTGGGTTCAAAGAAGAATTAGATAAACTCATAGAGCATACGTTGATCAGTGGCTATTAGCCAAGATGGTCAGGGACACAGCCCTCTGCTCTGGGTGTCCCTAAACCTCCAATTTCCAGAAGCTGGGATTGGACAGCAGGGGATGGATCACTAGGAATTCCCTGTTCTGTTCATTCCCTCTGAAGCACCTGGCTCTGGCCACTGTCGGCAGACAGGATACTGGGCTAGACAGACCATGGGTCTGACCCCATATGGCCGTTCATAAAATCATAGAATATCAGGGTTGGAAGGGACCTCAGCAGGTATCTAGTCCAACCCCCTGCTCAAAGCAGGACCAATCCCCAATTAAATCATCTCAGCCAGGGCTTTGTCAAGCCTGACCTTAAACACCTCTAAGGAAGGAGATTCCACCACCTCCCTAGATAACCCATTCCAGGGCTTCACCACCCTCCTAGTGAAAAAGTTTTTCCTAATATCCAACCTAAACCTCCCCCACTGCAACTTGAGACCATTACTCCTTGTTCTGTCATCTGCTACCACTGAGAACAGTCTAGATCCATCCTGTTTGGAACCCCCTTTCAGGTAGTTGAAAGCAGCTATCAAATCCCCCCTCATTCTTCTCTTCTGCAGACTAAACAATCCCAGTTCCCTCAGCCTCTCCTCATAAGTCATGTGCTCCAGCCCCCGAATCATTTTCATTGCCCTCCATTTTTCCATATCCTTCTTGTAGTGTGGGGCCCAAAACTGGACACAGTACTCCAGATGCGGCCTCACCAATGTCGAATAGAGGGGAATGATCACGTTCCTCGATCTGCTGGCAATGACCCTACTTATACAGCCCAAAATGCCGTTAGCCTTCTTGGCAACAAGGGCACACTATTGACTCATATCCAGCTTCTTGTTCACTGTAACCCCTAGGTCCTTTTCTGCAGAACTGCTTCCTGGCCATTCGGTCCCTAGTCTGTAACAGAGGGCAGGACAAGAGGTGATGGGGTCAAACTACAGCACAGGAGATTTAGATTAAATCTCAGGAAAGACTTCCTAAGTGTGAGAACAGCAGGACGATGGAACAGACGCCTGGGGAGGTCCTGGAAGCTCCTTTACTGGAGGTTTTCAGAAGGGGGCTGGAGAGCATCTGTCTCGGCTGGCTTAGACACAACACATCCTGCGTCTTGGCAGGGGGTTAGCCTAGATGACCCTTGCGGTCCATTCTAACCCTCTGGTTTATGACTCTGATCCTCTGTTTGACCAGATGTTGCTAATCCTTCCAAAAGTGGTGTTTGCTTTTCCTCAGCTTGCACGAATATCTTCAGCGCAGCCACCTTCAGATATCACCACACTCCCCCAAGAGCAAAGCTCTTCGACCGGTTAGATTTCTGTGCCATCCACCTGCATCTTTGCACCTGTTGTCTGGATTCCGTCCTTGGTTTTCCCGGCATTTACGTTCAATCTAATTTTTGATTGCCCTGGGTTAAGGGTGATCATTTTGTTCCATGTCAAACTTAGTAAAGCAAAGTCCTCAGCAAAGTCAAAGTTGTGTAACTCGTCTGTGCCAACCCACTGGACACAGTCCATAATGCCTTTTGTTGCCTGCTTCATCAGCCACTCTATTGTGAATGGAAAGAGGATTGGTGATTATATATACCCTCATCTGACCCCACTCACAATATGGAGCCATCCACCAAAGCCTGCATCCAATCCTAATGCTCATCTACTGTAGAACCTCAGAGTTACGAACTGACCAGTCACCACACACCTCGTTTGGAACCAGAAGTACACAATCGGGCAGCAGCAGAGACCAAAGAAGAAAAGCAAACACAATACAGTGCTGTATTAAACATAAACTACTAAAAAAATAAAAGGAAAGCAGCACTTTTTTTTCTGCACCGTACAGTTTCAAAGCTGTATTAGATCCATGTTCAGTTGTAAACTTTTGAAAGAACAATTATAATGTTTTGTTCAGAGTTACGAACATTTCAGAGTTACAGACAACCTCCCTTCCCGAGGTGTTCGTAACCCTGAGGTTCTGCCGTACGTCCATCATATAAACTCCTCCGTACATAGACCAGATTGTCTGTATTCCTCAAGGTCTCTCTGTGGACACCGTCAAACGCTTCCTTAAAGTTGACTAAGCTGCCGTCGCTTTTTCGATGAACAGTTGAGGCATGAACAGCTGTTCCAAAATGTCCTCTGTCCTCCCCAGCAGACGAGTTTCCAGTTTATAGATCCTGAATTATCAGAACTGATTCCACACACTTGGGGATCTTCATAATCCCTTCCACCAGGGCCGTCCTTAGGCATACGCAGCATACGCAGCTGTGTAGGGCACGATGACATTTGGGGCACCAAATTGCCCCAAATTTCATGGTGCCCTAGGCAGCTGCATGCTGCATACGCGGCAGCCCCAGCGACCAGCCCTATCCCCTGGCCGGCCCCCCCTACGGGCTGTGACCACTGCAAGGGGCAGGGCTGTCCTTAGGAGGGTGTGGGGCCCTGACCAACTCCCTCCGCCCCACCTCTTACCCTTCCCCCCTGGTGAGTGCGGGGAGGTTGGGGAAAAGGATGCCCCCCACACTCACCAGCGGTGGGAAACGGAGAGACGTGGCCCCAACCCGCTCCGCTTCCCTTGCCCCAGCCCCAGCCGTGTCGCTCGGGTTGGAGAAAGGTTGGGAGCTGGCGGAGTAGAGCGGGCTGGGGCCGGGCTGCTCCGCTTTCCACCGCTGCAGGGAGTGTGGGAGGGATCCCTTCCCCCAAACCCCCTCCCCCGAGCGACACGGCTGGGGCCGGGGTGAGGGAAGCAGAGTGGGCGGCTCCCAGCCCCCTGCTAATCCCCTGGGCCACTCTGGGACTGCGGGGCCCCCAAAAGTGCCCCCCCCACAGCTCCTGCCTCCCAGACCCTGGAGGGGGGGAGGCCTGGGGCCCCACACAGCTCCCACATGGCGGGGCTGTGTAGGGCACCCAAATGGCTAGGGACGGCGCTGCCTTCCACTGCAT